GGGACATCAATCTTTTTCCACACTAGGCCATGCCCATCGCTGACATCTTCCGACTTTAAAATCTGAGCATCAAATGGGTCCTGCAATAAAACCACAAGTGTAGTGACTGCTTACTAAGTAATTGTCTGGCATTTTGTTATTATATTACATGCGTTATACATACATATTACGTACATTACGTGCAAGATTATAAGCATTGCAAAAGATATATATATGTATATATACCTCAGTGCTTTCTTCAACGTTTATGCACTCTTTGTTGAGTTGATGAAAAACTTCATCAGGCTCAAAGTAGGTTTTTTCAACATGGTCATCTGTTATATACAGAATACAATAGCAGTACTGATGAAATTTGGACACAGCAGACATACAACATTTTGAACAATGTAAAATTAATTCTAATGATTTTTCGCTATTGCTGACGGCTCACACCTCTCCAAAGATTTAGTGAAATATCATGATAAAATACCTCATACCTATCAGCTACCCCTCAACTTCACCCACCCAGGCCTAAGATAAAATATTCCTTGTTTCCCCTTTACCGACCGACTCGCCAAAACGCCGCTACTCGACACATTTTATTGGCTGGTTAAAACAAAACCAAAATTATTTCGTTTCGCCAAAAAAAATATACACAAAACAGAATATACAATATACATACACACATCTTGTCAAAACAAAATAAAAAAGATTTTTCACCTACCTATACCTACTCGGTACCCTGAGAGGCGAGTAGGTAAAGGGGAAACAAACAATTTTTTAAGGGTGGCCCCACTATAATAACAAGAACTGAATGTAGCTAGTTACAATCAGATGATATAGCTATTTATAAAACTAGGATAACACAGAAAGTTGAAGCTTACATTCGCCTTCAGGTTTTATCTCAAATGTCACCTCCTGCTTGTTACAGAGATCATTCAAGTCGATAGGTTGATTGAGTCTGACTGGCTGTAAAAAAATAAGGCTGCACTAATTGCACCATAGATACAACTAAAGATCAACAGTAACACACTGGCAGTGGCAGTGTGCCAGTGAATTGAACTGATTTGAATTGAACTGTGGCAGAGCACATTCTACCTATTGAAACATTGTGGAAAAGCTTATGCTAATGACACTATACTCACAATAACCTCCTAACCTCGTAAAGATTAGTCTTCAAAGTCCAAGATCAAAAAGTCAAAGTTGGTTATATATATATAGACACTGCGGCTCGCAGTAGAAAAAGCTTTAAATTTGAAATTAACCCGAGACTAATACTACTGTGGAGATTTTGGGGGGTGTGTAACTCACAGGAGCAGTAGACTAGATCGGGATGGATAGACTGAACTCACCGTATAGATGGAATAACCATATATTGACGGAAGAGAAGGTAAAATATGGACCGCACATAAATACATCAACATGCTCATGGGCGCAGCCATCTTGGGTGATAGGTCAAGGGATGTGATGAGGGCGAGATGAGTCATGAGAGAAGGGCGCTGACGCCGGGTAAATAGAGTATAATAATCAACGGGGTTTTGTATTATTAGCCGATTATATATTATTAGCCAGCATAATATATGAGATTTGAATAGAATTTGAATAGAATGGATAGGCTAAGTTGTAGAGGAGGGGAATAGTTATGTAGGCACGGGTTGCATAAGATGATGCAACAATCCGTACCGGCCACGGGTTGCGTCATCAGGTGAGGCAATCATGATACTGCCAGGTACGGATTGCACCAGCGCGCGAAATCTGTGGGCCGGCTAAGTATATAAGGCGCGCCGAATCGCAGAGCGGGGTATTATTTTTCAAGTCAGGTTCAGGAAGAAGAAGAAGAAGGAGAAGAAGCAGCCGAGGACGATGAGAAAGAGGAAGGAGCGTTATTTTTCAGGGCTAGGTAGGACGAAGAGGAAGGAGTGTTATTTTTCAGGTCTAGGTAGGAAGAAGATCGAAGAAGAAGAAGAAGAGAACGAAGAGAAAGAGGAAGAGAGCGTTATTTTTCAGGGCTAGGTAGGAAGAAGAAGAAGAAGCAGAAGGAGAAGAGAAAGAGGGAGAGCGTTATTTTTCAGGTACAGGTAGAGAAAGGAGAAAAAAGGAAGAGGAAGGAGAAGGAGACGAAGAAGAAGAAAAGAAAGAGGGAGAAAGCATTTTAGGTATCGAGGAGAGGACGAACGTGAGAGAGGAAGACAAAACCGGCGACGTGTTACTTCTTCAATATTAATCTAGTGAGTAGTGGTGATCGGATCTGCTGCATATACGAACGCAGAGGAATTATTTGTGAACTAGTAGGAATCAATAAAGCTATAACCGTACAGTTAACCGAATCTCACTGTGTTCTGTTCAGCTGGTGCTACCTGTTATCCGCTACGTGACATCACCGTCCTGCCTAATACAACGGCAGGAGCGAACACTGAATCCCAACTGGGACACACGTTAACGAAACAACGTCGGTCGTACCGTAGTCGCCACAGGCACTTGAAACGTTTCAATAAAATATAAATGCTAAATAAATACGAAATCTAATACTAGTACTACAAAATTCTTAATGTTTCCTACTCTCTTTCACCTATTATTGCCGACAGTTTCCTGTCAATTCCGTGTAAATGCTCAATGCACCCACACTAACGCCGCCATTGCTCACTGTGCACAGTGTGTTAATATATATAGCAGGTAGGAAAGCGATCGACTCCAATCCGCTCGACACTCGGTGAATTTCACAGTGATTACAGCACAAAAACACAACCATTCTACTCCATCTTTGTTTCAATGTAAACAACAGTGATCACTTGTTAGAAATATAGACTGTCTCTGTTCTTAACCGAACTCTGTCACGCGATATATCGCGAAAAAACACTGGCGAAATGTCGCGCGTTCGGTAACGTGCCGGTCATGTAAATGTCTGCGAGTACATGGCTATAGCGGCCGCATTGCATTTTGGTACAGCCGACACTTGCTTTCCAACCTCCCGTACGAAGCCTCGCCATTGGAGCGTTGCACAAACATTCCAGCATTTGCGGCGCACCGAATGACGCAATACGCCGCTAGGTGATTCTCCTTACTTCGGCAGAGCTTACATTGATCCGCGCACGTTACGGAACGCTCGATTTCGGCAGTGTTATTTGCTCGATTATCTGCGTGACAGGAGTTCGGTTAAGGAAACAGAGCAGTCTATATTTCTACAATGTGATCACTGTTGATTTACATTGAAACAAAGATGGAAGTAGAATGGTTTGTTTTTTTTGTGCTGTATATCACTGTGATAATTCACAGAGTGGTCGGACGGATTGGGTCGATCTGGCTTTCCTACCTGCTTATATATTAACAGACTTGTGCCACAGTGCGACGCAATGGCGCATTAGCTGTGGGTGCATGAGCATTTACACGGAATTGACAGGAACTGTCTTGGCAATAATAGGTGAAAGAGAGGGTATAGAACATTAAGCTTTGTCAGGTACTTAGGATTAGATATTGTTATTTATTTAGATTGCTTACTTATTTATTGAACGTTTCAATGCCGTCTGTGGTAGTCGCCACCATAGTGCCATCACTATAATCACACTGCTGTATCGTATAGTTAATACCATTTCTGAATTCTATTCTGACATTTTTCTGGTTCATTTCGGATGTAATATTCGACAGTTTCCGGAAATAGTATGTATATCTAACTGAGCCTGAAAACCCTGCGCTACGCGCGGGCTTTAAGTGACGTGTGATGCATGTGTACCCCAGTTACCGTAAGTCGCTTGAAGTGCTGGTACAGTTCGCTTGTGATATCGGAGAGTATTAGGTTGTTGTGCAAGACTGGTTTGTGTTTTTTTCATGGTTGAAGGATGTCAATACAAATACATGGGTACCAATCCACTTCTATTTTAC